TAATAATAATAATAATAATATTAATAATAATAATAATAATAATAATAAATAATAATAATGTATATGTGTAATCCAGTTATTGTCTATTATTCCATCACAACAATTACTATCAATAATAATAATAATAATAATAATAATAATAATAATAATAATTATTATTATTATTATTATTATTATTATTATTACTATAATTATTATTATTATATAATTATAATAGCGCCCAATCCGCCTTAACGATAGAGTACACTGACAGCGCTTAATTCACTATAAAGACTGCTTTTAAAGCCAATAATTAAACACAAGGTTCACGAGAAACATTTCTCATCAGTGCCTATACACCTGTACATCTGAGTAAACCAGGGGCGGATTTAGGGGGCCTGCACCGCACCCCCCCCCCAACCCACTTTGGAAAAATTTCGCAGGGGCATGCTACCAGACCCCTTGAATAGTGTTATCTCAATCGGCCCCACTTTCGGTCCCCCCTTTCCGGACATCTATGGATCCGCTCCAGTAAACTATTGATAATTTATGTACAGAGCAAAGGTCCACCAATTTGGAACATTGCTCAATAATATATATATGAGCAAGTAAATATGTTAATAAATGTTATGTTTTAGGGAATTCAGCATTTATGACAGTATTCCTTTATCCTTCATACGCCTAGTCCTTCGTAATGTCTGGATGGTGCTTTGGTTATATTTAAAGTAAATTATATTAATCAATTAAACAGTTAACGGTATTTAAATTTTAAACAAACGTTTGAGAATTGTTTTGTCTTTTAGTACATATTATCATTCTAAAACTATTTGTAAACACACTATCTCATCGTAATTCATGCAAACAACAACGTTATCATTAGCAAAACATTAGTACATTTATAACAAAGAATGTCAAGACTGTTAATCCTTATGTCTTTAAAGACTATTTTATATTGCGTAAGTAGTCATGTTTGGAGGCAAAGTATTGCTTCATATTCAATGAAGTTTTGTAGGCCTACATTATTACATACATCATACTAGAAAAATAATAAATATTATGCAAATTAACAGAATAAAATATTGATGATGATGATGTATAATATACATCATCATCATCAGTTTATTCTGTTAATTTGCATAATATTTAGTATTTTTCTAGTATATAGCACAGGTCCACCAATATGGAGCACTGCTCAATCCCCACAAATTTGAATTTGCCTTCGAGACGGGTAATATTCCTATCCTGTTGGTATCTCACCTGTGCCTTTGAATTTCTCATCTTTCTGAGGTCGCAAAATATAGATAAAGACAAAAGTATTCCGAGGAAGAAACCCAAAAACGTCATTCCAACAAGAAGACCAGCATCTGAGTCTGAACATTCCAGTGGTACTTTGGTAAGCAATAAAATGATATTGACATGGCATTGTATGAATACCGTGCATTACAAATATTTATGTGCTAGTCAAACATTATATAAATTTACAAAAATATTTTTATATTATTTGGAAATTTTGTAGGCCGACATAATGTTAGTTACCATATTAATGAATTTATCGTACACAACAACTCCTATAGGTTCATAGGTTTGCTAAAATAGTTTACGTAAGTTTCTAAGTAATAATTTCACTTTTATTTCACTCGTTTTGATTTAAAGACAAAACGACCGAATTATTCGGATACCTTCACCAATTGAATGAATAATGAAAATACGTACCCGTGGCTGCAATACTTGATACGGATGTTGATGATGTGACTAATGCAAATGAAACAATTTTAGAAGAAACAAAACTTAATATAGTGATGTACAAAATTTATTTTCTTTTCATTTGCAAATAATCGTAAAAAATATGAATAAAAGGAATACGTACCTATGGTGAAAGAACTGGCTAAGGATGTTGATGGAGCTAATGAAAAAGAAATTAATGTTTCCAAATTGAAAACAAAATACTAAATATAATATTGAAAGAGAACATTAATAATAAATAATGTAAGATAGTTTTTTAAATAGTATTCAATTTTATTCTATAATATTGTATTGTAGATTTTTAATTTAATATTCCCACTATTATTAAGTAATTTTACTTACAAGTGAGACTAAACAATGAAAGTGTTCCTTTATTACATAGCTTTCCTTCATTTCCATTGTAAGCTGCAATCTCTGTTCGATATTTGGTAGTCCCCTTCGTCCATTTCATTGACTCTGCTGATCTCTAATGTTGTATCTGACTGTGGATACTTCTCAATATCAGACACATCGAGTACACCGCAATCTTTGATCCATGTGGTGGTGATAGGTGTTGGATCACCATTGGGCAAAGAGCAGGTAAATGTCGTAGTTTTGTTTCTATTGACATATTTCTCTTTCGGTGCCAATATTGGTGTCT